TCAGCCTGGGATGGTCTTGACAGGTAAAGTTGAAGCCCACCTCTTAAGCCTATCCATACGCCCTGGGGTCATTTTGTACCCCCGCGGTTGTATTCTTCACATTTTAGAATACTTCTAGATCTAGTACGAAGATCTCTTTGAAACTTTCAGTATTTCTCAAAAAAATCATTTTGACAGACAGCTATGCAAAATGTACGGATCGGATTAATGAGTAAGTTTCCTCTTTGGAAAGTGGTTCCGCAGAGTTCCCCATGTCGTACGGATTCAATAGTAAAACATGACGTACGGATAGGGTTAAATGATCAAAGTTGTCGATAGGAGAGTAAACTTCTACAATTACATATTACTTTTGTTTAGCTAATGTACAAATTTAGAGGATTGGAAGTAGTAAATTGGACAGGTTTGTCTTTAGATCTTTCTTCGAAATGAGTATTCTTGTAGCTAGTCCTGAAGGATGCATTGCCACTCCTGACTATCGGGTGTTGAGTGCCAATCCTTAAGGTTTTTTGTTCCTTAGTTATTACAGAGAACACACACAACTAGAACGCCTTTTGACCACCCAAAGCAGTGGTTCTAAACATTCCTTCACCAACCATTTACCCCCAAGGGAGTCACTGATACATGCCCTGTATCCCTGGAATAAGGAAATAATCTAAACATATCTTTTTTAAAAAGTCTTACAAAATTAATGGTCTGGAAAAAATGCATCTCTCTATAATTTCGATTAGAGAAAGAATACTGCTCCCGATGAGAGAGTTTCCTCTACAGCACGGGCAAGTTATTAAATTTCTCCCACATAACACGTCTACAAATTGGTCCAGATCGCTTCATTGGCCAAATCATTGTGTAATTTAAAAGTTTCCTTGGATTTTTCTAAGTATCATACTCCATTGAACCCTTTATTTCATCATATTATATCTAGTTTAAAAATTCACACACACATTATTCCAGGATCAATTTCAACCATTCAAAAACTAAAAGAAAAACTGCTCTAATTTTGCTTTATAGTCTCATTTTCAGTCATATCTAATCAGACATCCTGCTTTGGCCCCATAGAAATTAAGAAATGTATACCACGTCAATGTCGCGCGTGAGTTCGGCGACTGAAACGTTGTGCAACGCCGCTGCAGGGGCTAACTGATAAAGCTCTGAGCAATGCTGCTTCAGGGGGTCAACAGTTAATTTTAAAAAAGGAGACAGCAGTTCCTGCCTAGTGAACAGCTCTCACCTTTGTCTAGCAGCCTCTGTCTCCGTCGTGACGAATACTGGCAGAGACTCCGTGCTCCCATTCTGGGGGAAAAAATGTAGTGTAAGAAAATTGTCCTCCTAATATTAAATATTTAAGAAAAAAGTCACACAATAGATTCTAACACTAGATACTATTCACACCAGGCAAAAAAAAAAAAAAAAATTGTATTAAAAAAATACTTCCATGAACCCTTTCATAACAGAGTCAATTGGAGCTTCACCAAGCACAATTTTGGATCTGGATGGATGAAGGGTGTGTTCTACATCTTGCCTCCTTCGTCACGTAAGAAAAAAAAATGGCAAACAGCGCTTGTTAGTGTTAGACTCGCAACCATAAGGTCGTGGGTTCGAATTCCCTCAAGGGCCCGACGTTGTGTCTTTGGGAAAGGCACTTTGCACAAATTTTCCTCACTTCACCCAGGTGGAAATGGGTACCCGGCTATAGACTGTAAACGATCTTGTCAGTTTGATAGTGTTTGAGCGCGTGAAATCCACCGCTTGCACTGTATGCTTCTGCGGAAGCGGAGAATGTTTCCGAGTGTTCTTAGAGGGTCTGCTGGGGTAATAATAGTTGTAAAGCGCATAGAGCATGCAATTATTATTATTACTATTATCGTCAGTTAGGTAATAAATGCAATTATTATTATTATTATTATTATTGTAATTTAGGTCATAAATGGGGTTAAACAATCATATAAAGGCTATACTTATTTTACAGTATTGATGTATGCTCAAAGCTAGTGAGACAAGCACAAACTTGATTTTGCAGCTTCAAACATGAATGGAGGCTGAGAAAATCACAAAAAAAGGTTGTAGCTCTAGCCTTAACGCATGAAAAACATCTAAAAGTAATAGCTAAACAATGCACTTACAAAATTTCTCAGCGACAATCGACAACCGAAGCACAAATGGTCCATGATTTCCTCCGTTTCCAGCCTGCAACAGGAGAACATGTCAGGTTAGAGGTCAAGAACAAATCATAAAATCATAATGTACATAAGACAAAGCTTAATCTGGAATCCGCATGAGAAAAGGCAAAGAGGAAAGCCAAAGGACACCTGGCACCTTGATTTAGAGGGGGGGGGGGGGGGGGGGGGGGGCAAAGCAAGGGGTTCCTAAGAATCTGTGTTCCAAGAATAAAAATATTTCATTACTTACTACAGAGTGAAAAAGAAAGCTCACTTAGACATCAGTGTCTCAGCCTCGAACACTGCAATTTTTCTTTACAAACAAGACAAAAAAAAAAAGAAAATCTTAATTTGCAGGACAACAAGTAGGCTACTAGCTAGGGGCAGAGAGGGGTGTTCTGAGGGAGGGCCAAGGGTTCTTAAGCTCTGAGTGAGGGGCACAAGTTGTAAGACTCGGTACTGAAAGCCGCAACATAAGAAATGAAATTAGAGGCTTTGAGTGTCACATTCTTCAACCGACAAACGCACCTACATAACAGTTCAAAGACTCTGAATGAGAGGCAGGAGCTTTTATTAAGTTCTCAATGAGACAAAAGTAGAACTAGGCAACCCAGTAACAAGGAGCAGCTGAAAATTCAGGAGATAAACGCCCTCCCCCTCCCCCTTTTATGTGCCTTTTGTGTTAGCATTGCATTAACTAAGGAACGAACCTGGTGGGTGGCCGTGTCTGACAGCTTCCATCACCCTGTCCACAACAGCCCGGAGCTGACTGTGTAGAAGTACAAGACTTGTCCCCGTTAGTGGACGGTGACGACACAGAACTGCTGCCGGTGCCGCCCGCCCTGGACAACTTGAGAGAAAACTCCACTGCTCTCAGAGCCGAAGCGCTGCCCACGTCAGTGTCCAGAGGTGACTGGAGGAGGTCAAAGATCAAAGGTAAGACAACAGGGGAGACTTACAATTTTTTTGTGAGTTAAATGTATAAAAAAAACAATAGTTCAATATATAGATAATTTAGGGGGCGGGCTTTCATCATGCCTGTGAGGACTAACCGATGCTGAGACTGAGAAGGATAAAATATCCCAGCAGAAAGACCGGAATGCTGAATAAAAATTTGCTCCACTTAAGAATTGAACTCGGGTCTCCTGCATTTCACGGCAAAGTTCTTAACCGCTACACCAACGAAACCAGTAAAGGAGATTTGAAAAAGAAAAAAGTTGGATGATTGTTTGGGAATTTGTATATTATATAAACATTAACGACACATTTGGTCATGTAAGCATTGAGAAGTCAAAGCTTTTATTTTTAGTTTTCGTTAGTTTAACAGTACTTGCAACACAAACAAGTCATCTAAGTGTCAAAGATTAGAGACGTAACTAGAGAGTAACATAAGAAGAAAAGAAGGAGGAGAGATAAGGACTAGAGATGTTTGGTAGGAAAAAAGGAGCACACTAGACCAGAGCACCAGCCAACCACCTATTAACAGCCGTTTGAAAAGCTAAGACAAAGCGAGAAATATAGACAGAAACAACAGAGAAAAAAGAAAGAAGTAGAACCTGTCTATACAACTCCCAACCACCCGCTCCATAGTATGTTAAAGCTAGGATAAAAAACAACAACAACAGAGACCACGAAAAATCACTCTGGGTGAGTCAGAAAAACTGTAGACGGCAAAATGTCAGTCAGGGTCAGGAAACAGGAGGCAGTCAAAAACCACTAAAGGTGAAAAGACAAAAGAAAACATAATACAGTGGAGTCCACTACCATAGGATTTTCCTCCGTTTAATCAAGTTTTTGTGGTCAAGAGAGGCAGCTAAATAGAAAAAAAAGAATTGGGGATTTTAATTTCTTTCTGTTTACCGCTTTTTCGCAGATTAACCATGTTCGGCTTAAACAGATTCCATTGTCAGCGGAAAATTCACAGTTGAGAATGCAAAATATTATATATATGAAAGAGAGTTCTAATCCCCTATAGGCAAGCCTATTTTTAAAGTACCTTGTACCTTAGTCTTTCTACTGGGAGGCTGCTTGGTTTTATTTTAGGTTTAATAAGATTTTTACGCCACTTGCGACACAAATAAGTCACATAAGTTTTACGGTGCTCGCAACTACATAAGATCATATGAGCCTGCAGGACCATTAAACATTTTCAGTTGGTGACGGCTGAAGCCTACTCTTATCGATTTTAGACTAAGGGATCTTTAACGTGCGCAATTTGCACACGGGACCTCCAAGATTTTTTGCCCTTGTCTGAGAAGTCTAGATGTAGATCTTTCTTCCCAGAAGATCAGGGGCGTGGCTGAAAGACAGCAGTAAGAAGGAGCCAAGGAGTAGCAGTAGAAAGGCTGCAGAAAGAGTCAGGAGCCCAGAGGAGGAGGCAAAGGAGGTGAGGGGGTGGGGCAGAAAGTGGAGACTTAACCTCTAGGCCACAAGAGCCCCCATAAAAGAGTTGGTCTAGACAGGAAGGGCCAAAGCAGTCTTTTGCAAGAGGAAAATTGTGCCGATGGGCGTGTAAAATCTTTACAATCATAAAGGGGACAGAACTGACCTGACACAAAACACACTTAGTGGAGTTCAGGTCCGGAAGTCCAAGTTTTTCTGAAGTCCTGCAGAGGGCAAAAAATTAAATTACATGTATTACCTTCTTTTACAAGATAAGAGAAGATAAGAATAAAGATACACAGTGAAATAAGCCTAAACTGGAATCTACAAGTAAAAGGCCACTAAAATTTTTATTGAGTTTTGCCATGTTTTCGGTTAATAGAGTAGATCGCTCAAATAGCAGAGTAAAAAAAAATTAATTGGGGAAAGTATTTTCTTTTTCCTTTTCTGCTGTTTTTGGATTAACCATGTTTGATTTAAGTTGCGGACTACACTGCACATGTTTTGGCAATGCCAGAAATGATACATTTATCTCAGATGAGCGAATAGTTTTCCATAGGTAGTGATTGACAGCTTACTCCATCACTCGATAATTTACCAATATCTGTTTCAGTTTGAATAAAGAGAAGTGTATAGAAACAATAACAGCCAGGAAACAAAAGAGGGAAAGATCTACCACTGACAACCTCCAATACAACGGCAAAAAATCCAGTTCTCTAAACTTACAACTTCCTATCAGCTGACAGTACATTCACATCCTGTCACTATTTTTACTTGACGCAAGCTTGTCTAAAAGGGTGCTGCACAGTAGGTAACGAAAATGGCATGTTGACTGTGTTAGTGCGATATTGTGCATAATGAAATGTTCGTAAATCATTGGACTTATGAATTTATGTATATATATGTATGTACTAGCTAGGTACCCGTTCGATGAATTGACTCAAAAGAATCGATCGTCAAGACATTGTGGAATCAGTGAACACTGCTTGTGATCGGAAGCCTCACTTGTTTACAATGGCGTCTTAGAAGACAGTCTTTCCCAAGATTAGATTGAAACAAAACTAATGAAAAACTGAAAATTAAACTACAGTGACTTCAGACTCCTTAATATAACTGTGCACCATTTAAATGATTTTGAACGACCGTTAATTTGTTCAAATTTGAAAGTTAAGTGGTTTGGAAGTTTAAGGCAATGAAAGTGATGAACTTTCACAAATATAATATATACAGATGTATGCAGCTGTCAACCAAATATCCCTTCAGAGTTTAAAAAGAAATGGTTGAATCTTCCATATTTTTATCTATTTATTTTATTTCATTTATTTATTTTATAGTTAAATTAATTCCACTATTTAAAACTATTTTCATTTAATTTTGTTACTTTCTAAAGAACATTCAAAAATAGCAGAAGGGGTAGTGAGTACCATGTGCAAATTCAATCCTCCTCCCACAATGGTTGTCCATACCTGACAATGTTGCTGACGGTAGAGGCAAAGTCTGCCTGCAGTCCTGTGACAAACGTCTCCGCAAGTCTCTCGATACTCGCCCCCGGCTGGCCCTGACAGAAACACAGACAAAGGCACAATATAGAGCACAACAAGTAAGATAAGGTAAGATATGGATCTGATCTTCTTCTTGCTCATCTCTAAATGGAAATCCCAGTCTCTAAAGCCAAGGCCGCTGTTCGCAGCTGGTCCTCCAGGCTCCCGTGGAGTTTTGGGTCTCTCTGCTGAGGGTTGGGACGATATTCCTTCATATGGGTCTAATAACAACCAGCAAATATGTAGCAACGTGAACAGATGAGTCGTTGTTGCATTCAGCTCTTATGAAATATTGCGCAAAAATCTCAATTTTCTCCAAAGTTTGTGTTTCTGACTCCAGTAAATGACATAATGTAATGTTGGAACCAAAGCTGTCGAGTTTATGCCGTTTTCACCCACTGGCAGGATTTTAACTGATCTTTAACCTTTTGAACCCTGACCTCCTGAAGCTACCATGTCCCTCTGCCAGAGCTCCTGAGCGATATATAACCAACATCCATATGATCCTCAGAATCACATTCCATATCCCACTCATGATAGTTCTTGTCATTACCAGTATCTAATTCAGAATGATCTTAAAAATTATCAATAAACGTCTTATGTAGTAAACGCTGTTTTCCGTACACATTTTGTCTCAGGCTGGCTGGGTTGGGGAAGGGGGTTTCGCTCCCTGCTGTACCGCTGGCGAGGCATACGGGCAGTTTTAAGCTCCACCGGTATACCGGTGGCAAGGGCTCAAAAGGTTAATTCTATGCCCATAGTTATATTGTCAAAATGCAACAACTGATTCATTCAGTCGTGTTGCTACACAAACGTATGGCAAGGTATGATGGGGTCTAATGTCCAAAAGCAAAAAAAATGCTGTATGGATATCTAAGACACAGGACCTCCAAACTAAATATTCAAAGGATAGTAGAACTGAACAGCCGTGGTTGGGTGTGGATGACCCTGGTTCAAAACTCCTGTAGAGTGTTCCTATGCTTTGGTCATTCAGGGGACTATTCAACTTATCAAGGCTCTCCATTCTCTTTGCCTCGTCCTGTCCGAGATAAACGTTAAATTTCGCAATGGTGCCACATAATAGAGTTTGTAAAGTGTTCAAAGGGGGTGCTAAAAATCCCTAGCAAACCTCAGGACGTTGGATGTTAAATCCCGCAAAAGCACCTCATAAAAGACCTGATATAGAGTCCAAAGGGAGTGTTAAACCCACATCAAACCTCTTTACTTTGAGACATGCACTTGGAGAATGGTAGGGCAAAGGCAGCTGTCCTAAGGCACGAGTTCGAGCCCTAGGAGATCATCACAGCCTCTGTCTACCAGACAGACACTGGGACTGGAACATACAACTCTTTCAAACTGCCACAATGCCTATAGGAGTAAATATCCTGCAATTCCTATGTATTTTCTGTTTTGTAACTGCTAATAACAGAACCTGTTATTATTATGCACTTTCATGTGTGTGTACTCCTTTTAAATCATCATCATCATCATCCAGTGCCAAATCTGTGACAGACATCGGTGATCATGGTTCTCCATTCATTCCTTTCCTCGGATGCTCTTAAAAAAGCTACGTTTCCCTGATCTTTCCCTGTCACCCACTTGTTCAGGTTCCCCAAGTAGGTTGCTCTGGGCCTACCCCTGCCTCGCTTGCCCTCAATCTTGCCAGAGAGAGCTAGATTTTCAAGACCCTTATGTCTATTCAGGTGTCCTAAAAGCTGCATTAGTCGTTTCTGGTTGGTTTTTAACAGTGAGAGTTCCACATGAGCTTCATCAAACACTACCTCATTTGACATCATTTCCCTCCACGATACTCTTAGCAGTCTCCTAAGAAACCACATTTCTGTTGCTTCAATTTTTTTTCACTGTCTTTAGCAATTGTCCTGCATTCACAGCCTTATAGGAGGCTTTTAAATAATAAAAATAATATTAATAACAATAATAATTATATTTGCATTTATATAGTGCATATCCATGGTTTACATGCTCTACGCGCTTTACAACTATCATTACCCCAGCATACCCTGGAACACTTAAGAACATTCTCAGCTATCTGGGAAGCACACAATGTAGGTAGCCAATTAAGGGCTCAAACACTAAGAAATCGACAAGTACTCTCTATGGGGTCCTATCAGAACAAGGCTTCAATACAAAAATGCCAAAACAGTTTTCATCTTCATTGAAGAATTATCAGAAAGTTTTAGCCAAAACCAGAACCGATTGTTCAATCCATTTGTTGCTCAAATAACCTGGTGACCCACACAAACACTAACCTTACCTTTGTGGTGATGCATGGGATGAAAACGCTGTCCACACCAAACATATTGTTATATAATGTCAGCTCCTTAGCATTCAGATCTCTGGAGGAAAAATAGGAAAAAAAAGCCAGATATCAAACTCAAAGTTCACTTCACTTCCATCTTTATTCTTTTACTCACATCAAAGAACATTCAAGTATATTTTCAAAAGTGTAAAAATATGAAAATTAAAATTAAAATTAAGATATGAAACTGAAGAGCTCACAAGAATGATACAATTATACGATCGTTAAAACGTGCAGAGCAATTGCTGCACAATTATATTAATTGGTAAATTGCAGGGAACAGATACACAATAATTTATCAACTTAGTATTGTACACAATATCACATTAATACAGACAATCAACAAATCATTACATCGCTCATCATCACTGTGCAGCACCCTGTTTTTGAACTAGGGATACTGAGTCTTGCTCAAAGACACACCCCAGTGACCATCCACCCAAACGTTGTTTAACTGACATATGAAGAGTTAAATTTTTTTAAAAGAGTGTTATCAAAAACAGGAAATCATGAGGGTGTCAAATTCTGTTTGACTCATGGTTTATTGTTATTGTTAGTTGAATGAGAAGTCAAACAACAGTAATCAACTAACAGTTGTCTAGAACTGCAGTTATGAGTCAATAAAGCTCTTTAAAAATCAATACCCTTATAAAGAATTTCAGATTGTGATAACACTCATTTTTCCCTTGAGCCCTTCATATGCTTGACACTATTGGGAGCCCACCAAAGATTTCTTCCAATATTTTGAAAGTACGAATGTGCTGTTAGCCTCTCCTCTCCCCTCTCCAAACGAAGATACAGAAGATAAAAAAAAAAAAATGGAATTCTACAGTCACATAAACAATTATGTTAACATAGAATTAACTAAAAATTGTAACAAAAAAAGGCTTAAAAAATCAGACTATTTTGAAATTTAAGTCTACAAACACAGAAAAACAACAATACGTAAGAATGAATGGCTGACCACAATGACTCCATCCAGTCACAATTACTCGGCTTTGACACCTTTTAGCTTATCCATCACCTACCTTGTTTATTACTTGTGACACAAACATTCTACCAATAATACGTTTTTATACGTTTTTACACTTTAATTCCTAAAAAAAAAAATTTTTCCTTTTCTAAAGAGAGGTGCACCTAAAGGCTAACTACGTAATTGTCTCTTTCTATTTAAACCAAAACCTGCAAACTACCGGTACATGTTTCCTTGTAAGATCATTTTAAAAAGATTCATTACTTCTGAATAACTTACCTCACAGGCCGAACAAACATTACGTCTCCATTTCTGGCATCAGAAAAGCCCTAAAAAAAAAAAAATGCACAACATATTGAAAAGAACAGACCATGTCACATCTAAAAGCATAAAAAGATGATAAGCTTCTTTCTGATAGCAATATTGTATTGGCAAATGTTTTACACCCAATTGATGAACTTTAGATCATTTAGGAGGTGGGTTTACCTGTGTGGTTCTCAGGGAGAGACAGGGGAGCAAAGAATAGGATCACAATATCCCTACTGCGTATGTCGCAGAAGGCGACTAAGGTTGGTTGGGCAAAGGGTTAGCAGTCCCATCCCGTGTAACAAAAAAGCAGCTACAAAAACATCAACAGCAAAAACAACACGACCGCCAGTTTTGGAAGATGGAGGGCTAGAAAAGGATGCACAGGACAGGCTTCTAGCTGGAGAAATATTGTTGATGGCCTATGCTCCATGGGGAGTTAAAAAGGGCAAGAGAGAGAGAGGAGATGGGCTGCTTCAACCCAGCTCACCTGGGGCAGACCTGAGCTGAGAGAGACATTTCTTTTTAAAAAAACTTCGACACGCACAGGTATCGAACTCAAGTCTTCTACGTGCAATGGCAAAAACCTTACTACAGTTGATACTGTCTGAGGCGGCCACCAACGGTCAAATAGAAAACTGACTATTTTAGACAGGTAGACATCTTACACAGTGGTATTATAATGAAAAAATATGCAAGTTCTGAAATACCAGTGGCCGTTGTTCACGTGGTTTTTCTTATACAGGTAGCCATTAGAGCAGGTTCCACTGTATTACATCACAGATACCAGTAGACTTTTTTGACATATGAAACAATGGAACATGTAAATAACAAAGAAACATGAACTTCTTTATTCTTCAAGCTTGACAAATTCTTTCCAGTCATCAGAGTATCAGAGGAACTCACTGTGTTGACATTTGAATAAACAGAAAACGTTTTAATAATAAACAATAAAGGGGGGCTCTCGTGGCCTAGAGGTTAAGGTGTTGGCCTCTCATTCAAAGGTCCCGGGTTCGAATCCGCGTAGCGACCGAAAAATTTTCTTCTCTAAAATTGTCTCCTTTCACCTCCTTTCCTGCTCTCTAGCAATGCTCTGTTGTCTGCTTTCATTTCCACTTTCTGCCCCCACCCCCTCACCTCCTTTGCCCCCTTCTCTGGGCTCCTGACTCTTTCTGCAGCCTTGCTACTGCTACTCCTTGGCTCCTCCTTACTGCTGTCTTTCTGCCACACCCCTGATCTTCTGATAGGAAAGATCTACACCTAGCCTTCTCGGACAAGCCAAAAAATCTCGGAGGACTCGTGAGCAAGTTGCGCACGTTTAAGATCCCTTGGAGATCTAAAATCGATAAGAGTAAGCTTCGGCCGCCACCAGGGCAAAATTCAAAATTTCCTACCAACTGAAAATATTAGGTGTGTCCCGCGCGCTCATATCACCTTATGCAGTTACGAGTGTCGTAAAACACTTTACAAAAACAAACAAAAACAACAAAGAAACTTGATCCTCTTTTTCTTCATGTTTGAAAAATACGTTCCATCAAAAGTATCGAAGCAACTCACCGTGTTAAGAGCCACCTGGGACCCACGACCTTGGGAGACATCGGTCAGGATTCGAACTCCTAACCTAGTGGAGCACTCAGCAGTAAGGATTTTGGTAAAGCCCATCTGGCGAGCTATACACACAATCAACTGATTCCTGTGGAGTAAAAGAAAAAAGCATGAGACAAATCATTATACATTCTGAGACCTCTGAGAAAAGATTAGGTCAGATGGACATAACTTTATCCTTCTTACCCTTTTAGATCTGTCCTGCTACCTGCTTTGAATTCTTACGACGGAGAAAATACTCTCCTAAAATACCATAGTACTTATGCTTTAGAAATATCCATTAATACACATTTCTCACCAAAATAATCTGGAAAAATTGTAACTATAATAGGAAAAGAACACTGGTTCTAACAAACCCAATTTCATTGTAGTACAGTATGGGCAAGTTATTTGTTCTTCCCTCTATAGTTGTGACAATCAGTTAGCACTTAATACCCGTCTATTTCATAAAATAAAAAACATGATGTTTCCCGTGAATTAGAAGTATGAAATAGGTCGTAAAACAAACTTTTAAAGTGTCTTCGTTTGGTTCAGATCCCTTCAATGGCAGAGTTATTGTTGTGTGTTTTCAATCTTTTAAAATGATCTGTTCATATTTTATCTGCACAGCATTCCCTGATTAACAAAAAAACCTGCCAGAGGATCAATTTTCTTCAAATAAAGACGAGAAATAAGTTTGGACTCCTGATCTATCCTAATAACACAAAGCTGGTGCGTGTGGAACTAGCGTAACAAACCATTCATACGCTTTTGCATAATTTATCAGCTCCATCTAACAATTCTAGTTGACAAACTGCATTGACAGCTCCTGGTGCTTTTAGTAGTAGTTCTTGGTGGTTTTGGCAAAATTGAATTCCCGTACCATACTTTACCAGCACTGGACCTTGAATACTGCAAGTACCTGTGTTGGTAATAAATGATGTCAGAGGCTGTGTGTGTCTTGTGTCTTGCCTCCAGCCCCTCTTTTTCATCAGCTGCCCCCCCCCCCAACAATTACACACACACAAACACAGAAGTAGACTTAGCAGACTACAGACATAGGCGGTCTCTGCTTTTACAAGTGCAGCAAAAGCCATCAAATGCTTTAGACAATTTTTTCATCTGAGCAAAGAAGTAGGGCCTACCACTGGCACCCTCCAACCATCCGCCCCGTGCCAGTAATGAGACCACCTACAGTAGTACGATGAGTACCAGTGCTGGGTACAGGTACCTGCCCAGCCAAAGCTTCTTGTTGGTAAGTGGTTCGGGAGAAGTAGACCCACATTTCGTTTTGAGTAGAAGTAAAAAGAAGCAAACGGACATAATACCATTCATTTAATGCCAGTTAATAGCAAAACAGACAGAAACAACAGAGGGAAGGAAAAGTAGCAGGACCTCCCACTTAGCCTATGTTTCCTTGCATGCGACAGTCGCTAGTGATTAGTCGCGAGTTGTGTATCCTTAAGCGTGACCACATTGCGCCAAACTTTTCAGTCGTGTGCGACAAAACTGTCTCCTTAAGGGCGATGCGACGTTTAGCAGCGCAGGACTGGCAATTCACGGAAGAGAGACGGTGGCAAATTTTAATGTCAAGATGGACATGGAAGTACAAAGTCCATCAGATGAGAGTTCTACGAGTACATGGCCAATCCTGAGTAAGTCCTCCTCTTCCTCCTGCTGTCCATTAAAAAAACAATAAAACAAGATCAGATTCCCAAAACTTGGATTGAGCCGAATTGAAGATGAACATACTACACACACATACAAAGACACACACACACCACACAATACCACACCACACACGGTGCGTCAACCGGCACGCCTTGGCTAGGTATTTTGACCAAAAGTGATGCTCTAAACCTGTCACACCCCTAGTCTATCGCATGTGATGAGACCTTCGATCGCTACAAGGACCGATCGCAGGTGAATGTTGCGCGTGACTAAATGGCGAGCAGCGTATAAGGGGACGGTTTCTTTATAAATCTTACTTGATTCATTTAGAGTGGCAAGGATCACACGCAACGTGACGCAACGTGGCATCGTGCATAAGGAGACAAGCCCCAACACCCACCAACCATCCCTGATGTCGTGTGAAAATAATGTTTGGAAGTAGGACCACTTTTACAGACTGAGTCAGATTTATCTCCCACAGAACAGGATAAAAGGTGAACCCTCACTACAGACAAACACTCCCTCTCTAAATGAAAGGCATCAACACACATGCTGAGGAGGTAAAATATTTAAAGAGGGCAGAGAAATATTCACAAAAACTTAGATCTACCTTAGATTCCTAATAAAGTCTTCACGGCTTGAGGTCGAACTCAAACCTTGTAGCACAGAGCTGAGTCTGACCTTGAGGTCATCAGTGACGTCTACATCAGGTGGGGTCAAGGTCACATCCCTTTCAGTCGACCAGAAGGGACATGTTTTGTCTTGTGAGGAGTTGTCTTTTTTGTTTCTATCTATGTTGAGGCCCTAATGAAAAATAATGAACAAAGACTAGAGAGCAGTAACTTGGTGCTGACCGGTAAAGTCGATAAACTCAACTTGACCAAAGCGATGTGCTATACACCAATAAACAAAATATGAAACTGTACTCAAACGGCTGACAGCTCTGCACGTTAAGTAAATACAGAAACGTGGCAAAGCCCAACTTTACTAGAACAAGTTAAAATTTTGAGTTGGTCCTTTTGAAGAAATCTCAGTTTAAAAAAACAACAACTTTTAATTGAATTTGTGACATTACCCACAGGCTACCGGACCTGTACTTTTGAGATTGCGGGTGCAGGGGTTCGAGCCACGGCGCGGTCCCCGGTTGTGTCCTTGGGAAAGGCACTTTACACAAAATTCCCATTTGGCTTAGTCTTTTCGGAGATGGACGTGAAACTCGGAAGTCCCGCCTCTTAAATTACCTAATAGGGTTGATATTTAACACTGAGTGTTAAACCTATACCATTTCACCTTTTTAAAAAAATAATTCCTCTCATTCATCATGGGGACTCAGACACTGGGAGCGACACAGTGTGGTCACAACGAGGTAAATGATTGCTCAGCATGAGTGAAACATTCTACAACTCACAGAAACACCCTTCTTGTTCACCAGTGAGGAGGACACCTTAGTCAAGAGAAACTTATTTGAGAAGGAGAGTGAAAATCATTCTGACGTTAAATGAGTTAATTGCAATTTCTATCTCTATCAAGCATTTTCTAATAAAATCTCAAATGGTGCAAATCGTAAGGTCCCGATAATTGCCAAAAATCAGCTGATTTTAAGAAGTACGTTATATAGGAGGACAGCATTATGGCACATGATGTTGGAAGTATGGTGTTTTATTTTAGTAAGTGTTTTACGGCACTTGTAACTCAGAAAGGTCATGTAAGTGCTGAAGATTAGAAGTGTTATGGGAGTAACAAAAACCAAAAAGAAGGAAGGGAGATAAGGACGACAGATGTTTAAAAGTAAAGAAGGAGCAAACCACACCAGAGCACCCGTCAACCACCCACTGAAGTATGGTGTACGAGAGCTGTCATGAAGGGGTTAAAGACAATCCTTTCATGATTTACTGCTATATTAGTCAGACAATAAAAAGAAATCTTATCAGTGGGTCTCTTTACTGCCATATTAGAGGGTCAACTGTTACCGCCCCAGTCATGTACATTCCTCTGACAAGATCTCAAAACCCCAGGCCCAGTCGCTCATATTTCCCTCACAGGGCAACCGTCACGACAAAGCCAGCCAAGTATTTCTTACTGTATTCTCTCAAATTGTCTCTGAAAAATATTCTACATGATTTTTTTTTTGGAACTTCAAACAAAAGCAGTATCGAAAGCTTTTTATGTTTCATTTTAGTAAGCAATTTACTGGACTTGCAAAACATATAACGTCATACAAGTGCCGAAGATTAGAGGCATTAACAGAAAGTAACAAACAAACAAAAAAATAAGAAGGAGAAAAGATAAGGACGATAGATGTTTGATAGGAAAGAAGGAACAAACCACACAAGAGTACCCATCAACCACGATGTCCAAAAAGGAAAGACCAATATGACCACCACAATTCAAAAATGAAAACACAATGTTTGTGATGTGCTTGCAACAACAGTAATTTTTAGTACCATTGTCAAAACACCAAGATATAATGTAGAATTACTGATAGAATAGTCGCATGTAAAAAAAACTTTAAAAATTGAGGGTTCAGAAAACTTTTTAAATGTCTGCAAAAAAATACAGACACAATCAATAATACTGGCGAGATTTAAGGAATCCAGGACTCCAGTATTACCTGGGCCAGAGGGAACCGAGGGCTAGAAACAGCCTGGTGCTGTAAAGATTAACAAAATGAAATCCTAACTATAGCGTACCAGCTCCAGTGAGGTGAGGTAGGAAGGAAATCCTGACTCTGTCATGAGTTGGGAAACTTTTTCTCTCAGTCTCTGATTCTCTGACTGGGGTAGGTCCAGCACACAACATTCTGGGAAAAGTAAGCACTAATTGTCAATGCTTGAATAATTTCACAACTCAAACACACAAAGTAGTGCACATGATATATCAATAAAGTAAGATAAGAGGAAAATGAACAACTTTCCTGCTAAAACTGAAAAAAAAAGAGTTATCTCTAAGAAAAGTGTGATACCAACTAGTTTCCTGCTTAAATAAAAAAAATAAAAAATAGAGCAAATGACTAAGAATGTGTGATAGGAACAATTTCCCTCTATTCAAATGTAAAATGTAGCACTAAGAAAAAGAAATGTGGAATAAAAGATGAGTTTATTATACTTTGGCCAACATCAATAACAATGCAAATGACACTACTATTCTTTTCATTATCCATTGTACGCATTAGGCGTCTCAACTTCCCCTAAATATAGTGTCCCTATTTCCATACACCATGTACAAAGAACAGATCTTACCATCAACATGAAGAAGAGTAGGAATGAATCTAAGTTTCTTATGTGCTCTTACACTGAGACCCTGGGGAAAAAGAAAATGAAACAGTTCAACAGATGAAAGCACAAGACTGCAGTCAATACTGCTGTTATTTTGAAATGTGTTCACATTATTTTTCTGAAGTGTTAACTCAGGGCAAGTCCTCCTTAGTAATTTGAACAGATCTTTTGACACTTCCAGAAAATACTCTGCAAGACATATTGAGTATCTCTGCTCTGATGAAATTCAAGCAAGTGTTTGCATTTTAAAAACTGGAAAAGACACATCAAAATTATTTTACACAAATATGAAACATAATTGTGGATTTATTTTGACAAAGTCACATGAAAATTCCACTATTTGTACAGTTAAAGAGTGCGTTCTGTGTGGAAGCCATCACGAGAAACACACTCCCTTGCTCCACACATAAAGTGAAGTACTACCACCTGGCACTGTTAATATCGACTTAGTTGAACCAGGCTGTCCACAGTTTACCCTAGATCAAAAAGGTTGGGAAAAGTCTGGCCGCACACCTGATCTTTATGGTCTTCCAATAAATGGAAGGTCTGGTTCAGGTCTGGACTGTGTGGAACCCAGGCACAAACTGTCCCATGTCTGATCATTTTCTGTAAGTAGTGATTCTAGATCCATTTGACGACTCAAGTTGTAGTGTGCAGGGGCGCTCCACCTTGATGGAACTTATGTCGTCCCCTCTCCTGAGGTTCACAAAATCTTTCCAGAGATCTCCAAATCAAATTAAGAATTTTCAGATAACAATCTACGGACACTGTTACTGTACTCTTATGTTCATCCATGAACCAATACAGTAAAATGAGTCCTTGCTCATTCACTGCTACTCACACTGTCACAGGTTTCATTCTACAAAGTTGTCTGGTCTTTCAGAATTCCAATGAATGTCATTTCTAGCATAGCCATTCGGGTAAAAGTGGGCGTCTTTATTAAACCACACTTTCCATAAATGAGTCAACATAGGTATGATACCCCAAAAACCATCTACTTATCTTGACCTGTTCCTTGGTGTGGTCACCAGAAATGCCTTGGTGTTCAGAAATGGCATATGCTTTCAACCAAAGAACGTGTCTCAAAGCTCTGCAAACAAGTTCGAAAGGCGGAGCTCAAAACATAAATGACGAACTGATTTCTTTGGAGTGGCCTCCATCGAGCACCAAACGATGTCAATGGTCTTGTCATTGTGAACTTTACGGCCATCATTCTCCCTTCCTTTTGTCAGATATACACACAAGCCTGGCTTTTAACATCTACAAACTAAACCACCTAAGGATAGTTTTGTTTGAAGGAAAAATAGTTTTTCCAGTGATCTCAAACCATATTCACTGCAAGATAGTGTGTATCAACTTTGTTTAGAAACTTTGATTCAATTTACTTTTCAGCAGCAAAGACCCTCTGTACTGCAGTCCACCCCATTGTTGACATTCTGCGAGGAGCCTTTTGTGTTTGAGTCATGTCATGTAACATGCATGTTGCAGCTTACTTCCTTTCATATCTGGTGTTGACTGTGCACCAAATAAATGAGATATTAGCTTTCGTTTCAATTTTCGAGAGATCGGACAACAGGCTATAATTTTGCAAACACCCTGTAAGACATACTTAAGTTTGAGAATACTCACATCCTGGATCAAATGAAGGAGAGCAGCAGAATTGGCTCCCCCAGAAAAAGCCACCAGCACATGCTCGCCATCACGAATGAGTTTGGACTTTCCAATCGCAGCTCGGAATTTGTGCACCACGTACACCTGGAAGCAGGCCCTGTTTCAAAAACAATTCATAGAATGAAAAGCAATGAGCAGCTCATCTTATGTCAAAGTACAGAGTTGAAAGCTGCACTTCACTTCAACAAAGCAGAAACCATCTCAAGATAAAAGTCAAGTCTTGGGACCCAAAAAAACGCGACAAAATTTACAGGTGAGGAATGAAAGCCAATAAAAAAAAACCCATCAGGTAGATTCAAGCGCTGCAATACTACATCTTGACTCCAATATCCATCCATAGATTTTTAAAGAGTTTTAACATTTGTACAAACACGAAACATATTGAAAGTGAAATCTACAAGATCATTGTTAAAAAACACTTTCAGATCACAAGGGCATTCAAATATGTTCAAGCACATTAATATAGTCTGTTTACCATCCACGCAATAATATATCTCCCACTAAAACTCTACAGTATAAGAGGAACATTCCAACATACAATGAGATTAAAAAAGTTTTCTCTTTTTAGCATACTCACTTGCAGAAGGAATCATGAATCCGAGTGATCAGAACACCTGGCTCACCACATTTGACACAGGTCTTCACTTTATTTCTGACGGACGAAAAAAGACCGTTTTAAGCATTTAGCGTCCATAAGTCCTCATAACTTTCACCTTCAGATTTCACAGCTATGATAGTTACATAATGCTGAGACTATCTCCATAGATGCTAGAACTACTAGGAGCAGTAAATTACTGAACTCAAAGACTGAAGTGTGTCCTTTATACAAACTTTATATCAACTGAAAGAGCCTGATGGCTACATTACAATCACAAGAATTGAAAGGACCATTTCATAACAAAGAAAGAGAGTAAATATTGGTCAAACCTGTTCTTCAGTAACATGATGAAAATCATGCACAACTAAAACCTAATATGACTGCTTCCAATAAACAAACAAGAATCCATTGACCACTTCAGAACCTTCAAACTTTAGATTACATGCAAGGGACTTTTTCTAACCCGTGTCAATTAAAAAAAACAAACAAACATTTTCTTCCCATAACTAAAAAAACCCCAACCCTATATAGCATACATTTTTGCTTTGATAAACAGCCCAAATTCTCAAGCACGAACAATCTACCTGCAAGATCAATAAAGATTGTCATTGTCATAAGTACTCTTTGTCATAATACCTTTTTTCACTTGCGAGGGGCTGTAAATCTCCGTCTTCCTCAACACTGCACATTTTGTCGGATGAATGACAAACGTTCTTCTTGAGTTGAGATCAATTCCAGACAACAAACTCTGTTTGTGAGAGCAAAGTTACTGCTGAAAGAAGAAAAAAGGTATAAATGAGTCACGACGCGGTGGAATCAGGTGCACGTCAATTTTTGGGCACATGGAGTTATTGGTATCATCTTAAAGGTTATTCATTTGCCTTTCTTTCGATTTAAAAAATAACCATTTATCTTGAATAGAAGTCGAGATATTTGTGATCGAAGGAAGTGGGGCCGCCTGGTTTCAGAAGTAAAATTAGCCAGAAAATGGCCGCCAAAGTTCGGTGACTTCTATAGAGCTTTAAAGTCCTTGAAAACTGCAAATTGACATATTTGTTGTGCCTTTAATCAACATTTTCCATAAAATCCACACACAAAAGTGTTTTTGAATGGACATACAAGGTGCTGAACCATAGAACAAAAATTCGAAAAAAAATGTCAAAACTGGCAAAAAAAAAGCAGATTTCTCGGATTTCTTTATTTTGATGAGCGCCTGATCTCTCCATGATGCCTAACATAATAATATGACAAAATCAAGCATTTCGCTTGACACAAACTGTAAAAGCTGAAGAAAAGAAAGGTGAGCACTTCACTACCGTACTTAAAGTATAAGATATAATGCTAAAACTGACCCAAGAAATTGAAACTGAATGTTTCATGGACTTTGTTTACTGTAATTTCAAAGTACAGTCGAACCTGCCATAACGGCCACCTCTATAAGACGGCCACTTTCCATTTCCCCCCTTGCGTTTTTTCTATATAATTTAACTGTGTAAAACGGGCACCTGTCCAACGCGGCCGCCATAATTTAAGACACAACCCTTATCATACTAAGCAATAAAACCTGTCCTAGACGGTCACCTTAGTGACTCCAAGTCCATTACATTTTGTCATAAATTGTGCATTGGCCCCTGGCGTTGTGGGCGAGCCGTCATAATTCAATCACCTGTCGTTGTTGTTAGGTAGTCCCTCCAACCGATCATGTTGCGTAGGCCCCTCCCACTGTTGACCAATAGCTACCAATTTTCAGCTGCTGGTGAGGTAAGCGTGTGATCCCTCATAACCCATAAGCCCCGCCCAGAACTCATACACAAATCGTACGTGAGATGAGTGGTCACTGTTTACCCAGTCTGTAACAAAGTAACAAAGGACGTCAACATGAACTTGTTACAGAAGCGTCACTCGTTCTCCGAGTGGTGGCGACTCATGTGTTTGTTTTAACATGGCACTCAGTCTTCCTTGTCTGATACATTTCGTTTTATTATCACCCTCGTGCAAAATCAGCGACAAAATAAAAATTACAGACGAAATACAAACCAACAACAACACCAACAAAGACAACATAATGGGGCTACTTTCGAAGTTTCAGCGTCCAGACCCGGTAGTGTGTGTGTGTGTTGTAGTGTGTGTGTGTGTGTGTGTGTGTGTGTGTGTGTGTGTGTGTGTGTGTGTGTGTGTGTATCTAGATCTATGATCTAGCTCTATATTATTATTTTGGAAGTGGCTATTCTCATCCGGGGTGAGAATAGAAAAACGATCTACCTCTCACCCCGGGTGAGACTTGCCAGCGTAGGCTATTCTCACCCGGTGCGAAACAAGACCTGCTTTTCCTCATTTTGGAATACTGTCTGTTGGTGTGGATGATCAAATTGATAGGATGATCAAATTGATAAAAGCCAAGAAAAAATTACGTTATAGCACAAAAGTAAGCTAATTTGATCGTCTTTAAAGATGCTATGGCTATTTCACTGTTCGAATCGAGCCGAACTACGCGGGTCGCCATTTTGTTTTGCCCGGAAGTTCTCGCAAGATCTACTCCTCCCCTCTCTCTCTCTCTCTTTCTGAATACTGTCTATCGGTGTGGACGATCAAATTGACCAAAACAAAGTTAAAAAATGATGTTAAAACGCAAAAGTAAATTAATTTGGTTGTCTACAAAGATGCCACGGCTATTTAACTTTTCGAATCGAGCCGAACTACGCGGGTCGCCATTTTGTTTTGACCGGAAGTTCTCGCGCTACTCCTCTCTCTCTCTCCACTGCCCACAGACAAAATTGTACGCTTTTAGTAGGCTAGTTGTAATGGAACGTTTGTTCACGGCACAGAATTCTACAATTTTTCTGTTATCACAGTGTAGAATTCTGTGGTTTAGGGTGAACGCAAGATGTGTTGGCCTAGATCTAGGCTATAACGGTGAACGTGCACCGGGTGAGAATAGCCAAAAGACTCGCCTGCACTATTCTCATCCCGGGTGAGAATAGAGGTGGCCTATTATTTTAGACTGTGTACTTACTTTTACTTTTGGCTTGGACTACTAGATCTAAACTAAACTACGCAACTGCCACAACGAATCACGGCCAGAGCAGACATAGAATCAAGTGGAAATAGAAACTTAGTCTACCTGCATGTCACTTTTAATGCTACAAGACAACTATTTAAAACCTACCTTAATTTTCGTTACAAAACAAAACAGCAGACAGCTACATTTGCCTCCTCGACATGGACATGATGATGTTAATGTTGACCATGTTGTGAAATAATGTGAAATGTGAAACTAGAAACAGGAAGTAAACAAATAAGCTCTTATCAGATCTGGCTTTCGTTCATTTTAGTCCACTATATTCAGGAACACTTATCGGCGCTTAATTTCCGCAAGTCCTGATGATCGTGAAATGGCCCGTGGGCAGAGCTGGTTGAAACGGAGCACAAGTACTCCGGTACTTGTACTTACGTTACAATTTTCGGTACTTTTACTGTACTCTGGTACATTTTGAGAACCAATACTTTTACTGTACTCCGATACTTTTTATAAAAGTACTTTTGAGTATTTTTAAAGTACATTTTGAGTACTTTTGAAGCTTAATGAAAGAGTAAGTGCCGGCATTTCTGATCATAATTTACGGAACAAACACCCAGGTGGGCACAGCCGATCAACCAAGAGTTAAAAGTTGAGATGAAAGAACTGCCCATGGGGTGCCGATCACGTCCGTAGTGGGCATCCCGTAAAGATCAGCCACTCTCGTTAAATGTGATCACAAGCGTTGTAAAACTCCATGAAACGGTACAATGATCCCCAGAGGTGTGAATTGACCGACGCGTTTCTTTTCCCCAAACATCACACTCGCATCTGAGCTCGCCACCTGAACTTACATCACCCGCTGGGTGGGTATAGGGCCTACAAGTTCGCTCCAGGCAGGATCACATCGAACTGTGAACTCTTCCCTGACCATTGAAGTTGAAGGCAGTTTTTCTCTATTCCCGAATTTGCGTGTGGTAGCCTACGTAACGACAAAGGCGGGGGGACTCAATCAGAGATGGAAGGCAACTATTTTTGGACAGGTAAAGGGGAGGGGCAACTGGATAAACGTAGATAAAGATCTCGAGTCGATATATGCTAATGAGTGTACGGTATAATATTATGACATGCCTCATGCCACCATGCTACTTTGATTGGTCATCAAGGTTGACCACTCTTGGCTCGCCATACGTCATAAACCCACCCAGGGGTCACGTCAGTTCATAGGCCACTGTAGATTCTTCCTTGGCTGCGTCGGCTAAGATCCCGTATTTCCCTTGCTCCCGAGCACTGGGATCTTAGCCTAGGCGGAGACTACTGCAGTAGAGAATTTTTGGTTACACTACACTTACTAGATTCTTGGAAATTACATACATGTATATGCCTATTTTGGTTTGCCATGGGCGCCGCGGACTACACAGTGAGACCAAAATCTGTCTTACCACTATAAGATCTACAATCATTTGAAACTGAAACTGAGTTCTCAATGTATGTCAATCTAACAATTTTTTAGGCTACCTAAATGTCTTTAAAACTTTTTTTGTGGTTTGTGCTTTAGGCTACCTTGATTCCTTGAGGATTTGTTAATGAAGAATTCAATGCACTTTCCATTTAAAAAAAAATAAAAAAATTCGCTGGCCATTTTCATCAATTTTATATTTTCTTAAGAAGAGCAACTTTTGTCTCTACATTTACTTTTCCAACTTTCCGACCTCTAGGACTGACTTACATTTTTGTCTTGCTCAAACAAGTTCTATTCATAATATATCATTTACTCACTTGTTGTGTCTGTTTGTTTGCTGGTTTTTTTTTCTTTTCAATTTCACGGACCATTTCCACCTTCGTTCAGTGCGTGTATTCAAATACTTTGTATACCGTTTACATTATTAGTAATAAATGGCCTAATTTGTCAAATATACTAGATATGTTATTCAATATGATGTTTTGCATTAGCACTGAAGTGTTTTAGCATATTAGAAGAAAGTACTCAAAAGGTACTCTTAAGTACTTTTTAAAAAAGTACTTGTACTCAAGTACATTTGACAGGAAAGTACTTTTACTGTACTTGAGTACATATTTTAGATTGTACTTAAACTTGTACTTAAGTACCTTTTTAAAAGTACTTTAACAGCTCTGCTCGTGGGAATGGGTTTTTAAAAAAAGTTTTTACAAAGCTAAACCGAAAGATTTTTTTCCATTGCAGGGGTATTACACCCATGTACCATCAACACAACACATTTGAAAGGCGAGCTCCTTCAACCCTGCCAACAACAATAACCAACATGGGCTGAGACCTGAGACTATGGATAATACTAATTTTTCATCTGTCTCTGTACCTCATTTCCAACTTTTTATACATGTACTCATATCATGTACATAATATTATGTATTTCGGTGAACAACTGCACGACTAGAATCTAGAGCTCAATTCCCGAATGGGGAAGGCTTTAAAACAAAAAATCAAATGCGTGTATCTCGCAGATCTCTCCATTTGTCTGCTGTGACTGTGATGTTGCATCCCTCCCAAAGGCCTTAATTAGACAGATCTAAAACAAACCTCCTTGATCCCGCAATGTGGATTCTATTTCTACAACCCATAACATTTTAGAAAAAAGTTTCGTTGCCATGGAGATGACAGCAGAACATCTCACTTATTTTTTATGTGAAAAAGTTATTATTTTTCATGCATGTAGGAAACGATAGCTCTTTAAATTGTTTGTTAAACTTTTACTTTTACTACATCTCTATATGAATTAGAAGAAACTTTGTAATGAATTTTCCCCCCCCACTCCAGGTAGGCCTTATAATAGTTATATAATCTATCAAGGCTGAAAAAAAAGTGAAAGTTCACATTCCAGACATTCGCCACCAACAGATCTGTTCCATATATATAGAAAATTCAAAAGACAATTTTATAGTGTTACAATACATCTTTTTTTGTTCATTCTGCGAATATTTCTTGAAATTTGAATGGAAAATGGCAGAGCTATTTTATTAAAACAAAAGTATTTAAACAGCATTTTTAGAAAGCAGACCATACAGGGAAAAAATGGGGAACTTCAGGAGGATATGTTGTTGACAACTACCTATTAAAATGCCTGATATGTGACAAAATAAGGATTCATGGGGTTCTTATGCGATGAATAAATAGTTGTTAGAGAGACTGAACCCGAAGAAGCTAAAATATGTAGGCTACATGCCCACTTCTCAAAATCCATTTACCCAAATTGGAACTTTTAGCTGCCGCCCCCCCCC